AATTGTTTTCATAACTTAATTAAAATTGAAAAAAAAATTACATTAATAAACAGTTGTAACGTGAAGCGGTCACCCATCCAAGGGTTAAACAGGCTCGCCGTTCGCAGTACAGTTAAGGCAACACATGAAAAAAATATGGTAATGAAGACATAATGAGGTCTGACGTCATGACAGTTGCTCCGCCCTGATTGATCCATATAAGGAAATGGTGCTCAAAATAACAATTTACCGATATTTTCAAAAATTTTTAATAAACAGCAATATCTTCATGTTGAAATAGAAAATACTTAGTGATTTTCTCGTATGTATAATATCATGTCTGTAAAAAAATTCTCTTTTTAATGTGTCGTTTGTCTGCATTCGGCTTCAGCCAAGCGCTTGCACTCGGTGACACGGAATGTTGTTTACATAGATCTAAAAACGTGACGACATCAGCTGAGATTTGCAGTGGATTTAAATGCAATAACCACACAATCTTAAAAGAAAATAGGGATAAAATAAGAGACATGGCATTGCTTCTTCCTTTTACGAGAATATGAGGACATTATTTCGGAAAATAGCAGAAAACTGAGACGATATGCACCAGCTCCGTAGATCGATCACTGCACTGAAATTCAAGGCCAGGTATGTTCAGATGTATACGCATATGTAGGTACATGTGTAGATCTACAATATGTAGACATGCTTTTGTTAACATAAAAAAACCAAGTGTGCTCATGTTCATTTCACATCATATCACAGTCAGTGAAAAACTGTAATGCAGTGCCTTGTGTGTACCCCTGCGAGGTGAAATTCATAATTTCAGGAACTTTTATGAATCGTTCATGAACATTCATGATGTGTTCATGAACGGTTCATGATTGGTTCATAAAGATGGTTCATGAACTTTATTCATGAATATATTCATAAAATGTAGTTCATGAACAAATGATGAATTTATATGAATATTGGCAATTTTGACATTTTAAAGACAGAAAAAATGTAGAGTTCAAGGTATTATGAATGTTCATGAATTTTCATGAAGACTAAAATAATTGACAAAAATGAATTACAGAAAACACTCATTACTCTCATAATGCAACTTTTGCATGCAGATGCAATTGTTGAACAAGCCCCTGGCATAATTTATATTTAATAACATTCTTTCACCAACTATCTGAAAAAATAAATCATGAAATCTCTAAACATTTTGTGTTTTTATTTGATTTTAATCAAACAAACACTGCATCACCCTTGACAGCATTTTTTTTTCAAATTGATTATTTGTGTTTCTTCATAATTTAAATTAAACGGTTATATTCATCATAATGTGCTTTAAATAATGTCGTTTTTCATCACACAACTTTGTTCGACCGAATTTTCTCTAACATCAAACTTTAAACAAGTTGCAAAATAAAAAATTCACAGTTTCTTTTACAATGTTTTTTGAGACAAATATAATAGCATATACCACTCAGATGTACAATATAAGCACACTTTTTTTAAATGTGTGTATTCTAAATGAAACTGCAAAGCATTTTACATCAAAGGTTATTAACAGAAATATCCAAGAAAATATAAGATTACTGGGGGATCGCCTTGGTTAAATTAATGATAACCAAGTTATGATATACATGTATGTAGTAAACTAAAGTATGCATTTTTTTTAAATAAGAGGTTAGATTCATTAAATGACATTGGCCAAGGATTGGGAGAGGTCATTGAAACCTCAACAGGATATACAATTACAATAAAGTGCTAGTGGCCCTTGTACATTTACTGTACAAAGTTAGTGACTAGAGTGACAAACACATGTATTAAATGCAAAAATATATGTAGTACACAACTACATTGATACAAAGATCCCATAAAATGAACAGAATGTTCGTGCCAAAGATCCCAATTATGGAAGATACAACATTTCTGACATGTTGCTAGAATCACATCCTCAAATATCCCATGAAATTTGCAATAGAGGGTTGACAGATAATTGGTGTCACCAATGGATTCTCTTTTAGTACGAAAGCTCAGCAAGTTCGATGTTGATCATTCCAACAGACACTTCAAACTTTCTTTGCACAATTTCTGAAAGAGGAGATGACCATTTAAGATGTATCATTATTGATATCTGTATAAATGTATGACAAATAATAAACTAAAGCTCTACAAAACAATTGTTCTTTTCTACCTGGCAGATCAGTTAAATACTGTAGAATATGAATTCACTATCTTGCAATTTTTTGTTCAAATTAGGATTAATTCTGATAAATGTAAAAATGTGAAAAGTTTATAGACAACAGACAAACACAAGACTGTGACTCTGATCAAAAAACTGACTTAGGCCTTAAAATGGCTCAGGTGAGCTTAAATGAAAAGGCTAGAGCTGAAGCTCAATGCTTGACTAACATTGAAAAAAATTAATTTTAATTCATGTGATTTTATTGATTAAGAAAATAATGAAGAAATCTTACCATTTTTTTTATACAGTTCTTGTCCTAAATCTTGTAAGCATCCAGATTCCTGTAAAATGCATGTATACTTCATAGAAGATGATATCTTTGATTATATTAATATTTGATCTAAAATAATTATACATACCCATGCAGTTAGCATGTTTAGATTACCTTTCAGAATTCATTGTTAAAAATAATAAGGAAATGGAAATTAGGCATGTTAAGAATATAAATCTTTAAATGTTGTTTACTTGGCATAGTTGCAATATTTTTTTTAATCTTATGCTAAAAGACATAGATTAATAAAATCAAAGTTAGTTTCTTTGTTTTGAATGATAATTTGAGCTGATTCTCACCATATATTCACAAGCCTAGTGACTGATTGGTTAAGCATCTACATGTATATGCACTTTATCAAAGGCCAGGGCTGTGAAAATCATCTCAGGCAATGCAGCAACTATTAAAACAATCGAAACATGCAAGATAAGAGCTGAAAATGGTCATGAACATGCATTACAAAATATATAATTAATTACATGTACATCATACTCGATAAAGGTACAGGTAAAATTCTTGACATCAGTTCGATTCCAAGCAAGGAAATTCGGGTTAAAATCAATGATCTTAATGATATGTATAGATTTGTTAAATAATTATTACAGAAATAGTGCTTGTCCTAACGATTTCACCGTCGGGCATTTATGTATGGTGCCCGGATGTCTACGGATTAATCAAATGTAGCAGAGACATTCTTCGTTCGAGGACACATAAAATTCTGTACAATATTGTACCTACCGGTCTTAAAAATGTCGTCATCTTCTTCCATCTCAAGCTGACCATGATCCCCCTGTTCGTGGCACTCGTTCCAACTTTTCTTCTGTGGAACATCATGATCAACAACATGGCATTCGATATTTTTGAAGTTCGGTAAAATCACAGGAGTTCGAAATTTTATCAATAAAGTCAATAGAAACCACTCGATTGACCAAGCCATGAGCTATGCGTAAGCATAGCGAACAGGAATGCAACGTGTTTTTGGAGAAATCGAGTATTTCGCGTTTACCCACCGCTTTTTCAGCACCGCTCGTCAGCATTCATAATAAACAACAATTCTATACTAAAATTTGCTTTCTATCCCTTCTCGAATGCTGTCAATATACACACTTTCTTCGAGTTCAAGTAAACATTCGTTTTTCCGAGAAGCCATTGCGTGACGTCACATCAACTGCGGACCTGACAGATTATTATTTCGATCGTTTCTAATAAAAAAAAATAAGTGGTTCTTAATTGTTGTATATACATACATTTTATATATTAATGGAATAAATTATACTACTTTAAACCTTCTAATATTTTTAATGGCGAAAAACCATGTCGAGATTTTTTTTGAAAATTAAAGGGCGATAACTCTAGTTGCATGTGCGCGAAATTTGAAAGTTGAGAAAGTAAAAGAAATCCTGTGAAGAAATTCACGATGTCTAGCAACTTTTCTGTTGCACTTTGGTAAGTTGGTGATAGTGTAAAGCAACAGGAAATAATTTAAAAATTCTCTAGATTTATATATATAGTAATTATGTGCACCATGACAGTTATAAATTATCACACAATGTTAGCATTTAAAATACAGAAATGTAATGGATAGCCTAACTACATTGATGAATATAGGTATAATGTGAATTTATAGCAGGTAAGGAGATCTAATTTAGGCAGTTTGTAGCTGTATAAAATGCATGTCAAAAATGGAAAAGGGTATAGCCATAGTGATATAGACAGGGATAAATTCAAATTTCACATAATATCTAAATGAAAACAAACACAATGAAAAAAAAAATCACTTGATTCTGGCTCCATATACATGTATCTTCAAAAGTAAAGTACTGTGAAATCAAAAATTATCTTTAGTTAGCTTTACTGTAAAATCACATTTTCATGGGGTCAAATTTGTGTGGTTTGAGGAAAAACGTTGGTTCGTGGGGATTTGATTTCGTGGATAAATAAATCCAAATGTTTAGTAGTTGAATGTGCATATTAAAATTAACATTTCATGGTGGACAAGAATTCATGACTCTTTTCATACCTTGAAAACAACAAATATTAATCACAACAACCCCCCCCCCTTTATGACTGCTGAGCTTGAGTTGTCAGAGTAAGGCCAAAATAAAAAATAGTCTTGTTTCCTGCTACCCGACCTACCCTATTTTGTGCACCAACCCTTATGTTTTTTTTTATCTTATGGGGAAAAAATTGTAAATTTTAGAAATTTCATGTTTCAAAAGTGAAAAAAATTATACTCAAGTTGTATTTCATGAAATATACATGTATGTTTAAAATATGAACTTTCATAAAATTCCATTTGAGACATGGATTTTCACTTGGAATGATGATATTGACCTTAGCTATCTAAGCTATGACATGTTCAATTGGTTTTGTAGTAGTTCATATATCCAAAAAATACTGTTAAAAAATAAAATAAAAAAAAATAAATAAATTCCCTACCTACCCTATTTTTTTCTGACTGGTAGCAGGAAACAAGATTATTATTTTTTTTGGAACTAAATATGTATATATGCATTCAAATGTGTTCTGTCAGTAAACAACTTTCACTGTAAGGACTTTGTGACAATGAAAATGTTCAAATATTTATTATCAGTCCTTACCCGTTTTACTTTGATGATTTTGATTTGCCTTTGCCTCTCCCTTTCCCTTTTTTACTGCAGCCAGTGCAAAACCACGATGATGCAGATTTTTTAAGAAATGCCTCAGTTCCTTTTAGATTTACACACTTGTAATGGAACCAGCCGTTACATTTGTCACATGCAATGCTTTCGTTCTTAGTCTCTGCTGGTTCCCATTCACATTCAGACTTACACGTCTTGCATATGTAGACGTCTTCTTGCCCTGCTTCATCAACTTTTGCTTTCTTTCCTTTTGAGGAGGATTCCTCTCTATCACCCAGAGCTTGAACTTTTGTTCGTAAAGCTTGTTTCTTTTTCCGAGGCACAGATGTTTTAAAATGATGCAGTGCATCAACAAATGCAATTCGTATAAAATGTTCTGTGACATCTCTAAAAAGTTGCATGATAAGTGTTAAAAAGAGTTCATCCTCTATTTCTGAATCATCACTAAGGAAATGTTTTGCACTCAGACTTTTTTGGGTGACCTGGTTTAACATTACAAAAAAATTGTACACTGGCTCACTCACAATGGTAAGTCCATGCGTAGGGCCCTGTTTGAACTCAATTTCAGTCATAGTGTCTTTGCTTGTATCAATGTCTTCCTCTTTTACACGAAAGTTCTTTAACATGGCCTGTTTCCTGTACTCCAGTTTACGAAGTGTTCTACTCTTTTTGCTACATTTGCCCACTGCTCTAAGCACTGATTCTTTAATCCGCTTGTTGACTCTCTGAATGCACGCACCAGCAAGATATCGAATTTTTCCCTTGGCAACAGAGGATAATGTAGAACTTATTTCTAATTTCTCTGCTTCTTCTGCTTGTTTCTGTACTGTAACACTTGCTCTCTTTTCAATCTCTTTCTCCATTAGCCAAAAAGCTAGTTTGGTAGACAGTTTATTTTCCATTTTACTGACATGTTCATGTTGGAAAAGTTTCTCAACAGACATAATATGCTGATCACTTACCACAAAATTATTTAACTTGGTGAATGATTGAGTCCATTGCTGAGGTGATTTCGGTTGATCATTCATGATTCCCTTGATCTTGAAATATAAGAAGTTGATATGCTCTGACATTAAAGTAGAAGTAAACAACTCTTTGGGTAAGTTAACAATGTAAGGAGCATGGCCCAATTCACTTACAAAGTCATCAATGCTCCAAGGGGCTTCAAGTTGGGGAAATTCAACTGTTACAGTATTACTCTGCTTTGAAGGACCCGGTAAATCCTCTTCAATATTTCGGTCTTTACGTGTGTCAGACTGCATGTTAGATGGATAAATATCCTCTTCAATATTTTGGTCTTCCATTTCCAATGACCTTTGTTTGCAGCAAAGTAAGTCGTCTCTGAAAACACAAAAGTCTCTCTCATAAAACTCGTACACAAAATCTGGATGTTTAGCACTTGCCGCTTTTGGATTAAAATTCACAACACGTAATCCACTTGTTGACACAGCTCGTCCAATAGCAACGCCCATTTGTCCAGGAGCGAAGAATGAATACGAGTCCACTTCAACATTGTGTAATGTCTGTCCTTGTGCACGATGAACGGTCAAGGCAAATGCAAGAATAAGAGGAATCTGAGTACGACTTGCTAGATTTTTTCTTTCTCTACTGTCATAAACATCAAACGTAGTCTCAGATACTGTGACTAGGTTACCGCTAAAGTTAATTACAGGAGGACTCCCCCTCTCCAAATGATGAACGGTTCCCGTCATCCCATTGAACAACCCTGCTGCTAAGTTCTTTATCAGAATGACTTTTGCTCCTTCCTTCAGCAGTAGAGTTTTAGGAGCAACACATCCCAGTAATTTCCTGACATCCCCTGAAATTATACAAGTTAGTGTTATATTGTGTATAGATATCAATGGGTGTTAACTTGGTAAAAAATTAACACATTTATATGAATCATGAAAATTGAAAAAAATGTAATTGTTCGGTCAATCCTAGTCATAATACAATAACAAATGCAAATGAAATACTTTGATTGATTATATTCTTATCCTTAAACTATTTGAACACATTGCGAAGCTGTCCTAAACACGGCATGGGGCATAACACTGAACAAATGTGAATTTGCATTAACCAAGGAATTGATGCTTTCATGTTCATAATGAATAAATGCTGTTATACTAGCTGTTCTTGAGAGAAATTGTAAATGACCCAAAAATACTGAAAAACTATAATTTATTTGAAGAATTCAAAACTGTGAGATATGTGAGTCTATGACAGACAATACAAGATATATACCTTTATCTTTGGCCTTGAAAGAAAACATTTCTCCCTCCATTTGTTCGAGCATATCCTGATTAACCACACAAGCATCAAAATTGGTCCCAAACAATCTAGTGATGTCTTCAGGTGGTGCATCTAATGGCCTGTCCAAGCTTCTTAAGAATTGGACCGTCTCCTCAGATGGTCTTCCATCACATAATTCGTTTACGGCTTTTATGAGGGGGAATTCACTCTGACGGAGAACCTGAAATACAATTTATAACTCTGCTAATGATCTTAATGTTAGTCCATTTCATAAAAATACATGTACAGTAATTCTTTTATTTTACCAATAGTTTTAGGGAACTTGATAGACAAAAATTAAGTTTCTCATTCATATCTATATAAGCACAGTGCATGATGCAAGATTGCGCCTCAGTTGCATAAAGCATAACGTTCATCATACATTACTGGTTCTTCTTCTTACCTCCAACAAATTTATATGATGAGGAAATGTCAAATTGAATTTGTTGCTCTGGAAACAGTGACTTCCATCATCATCGTATCGTAAGTTTGGGACCGGAGGTAGCTGCTTAAAATCCCCACAGCCTATGACCTGTCAATGTAAAACAGTACATGCTAACCTTATTTGTAATTTTCTGTATTAGATTACAGTATACACTTATTTAATGACTACTAGGTAAACAGTCAAAATGTTGTCCCGAGGTAGTGGGGAAGACCTGGATAACTGTTGCCCGAGGCCAAAGACCGAGGGTAACAGTTTCCCAGGTCTTCCCCACTACCGAGGGACAATAGTTTGACTGTTTCACTGAGTATCATTAAATAAGTGTTTTATTACCTAACCTACTATATAATTGATTAAATTGGAGTAAAAACACACAAACATTCAATAAAACGTTTTCACAACTGTTTATTCACATACTTGTCTATTAATTAGCTGAACACATAATATAAAGATTAAATTAATATTTTTAATTTAAAGTAATACTTAATAAATGGATTGTTTGTGTGTTTTATTTAAATTTGATTAATTATAGAGCAGGTAAATAGTGATGTCGTGATCATCAAAATGCTTGAATATCACGATGACGCTATAAACAGGCAACAGTTCATTTTGTGGCCCGGTCAACAGTTCACAGTTTCATGATCACCCAAAAACATAAAGTAAACCGTGAAACAGTTGAAAATGCCTAATTATAATTTATATAGTAGGTTAGGTAATAATATGTAATATTATATGATTTACAAACTTACACAACCATTTACTAATTGTTAGCAAGCAAACTCTAGAGAGTTTAAATCTTTACAATTAAAAATATTACTCTAGTAATAATTAGTATAACTTTTCATAGATAATGAACAAACCTGCATTCCTCCAAACACTTGATCACACTCCCGGACATGGCGACACACAAACTCTACCATGTCAAATGTCCGGGAGGACAGCATGCTTATTTCGTCTATGATTAGGCACTGTGCTTCTCTTATTCTTTTCTTCGCCTCTGCAAACCTGTCATCTCCTTGGAATAGCTCTGCCAGGGTTTGGTGAGAATGTCTACCGTCTATAATTCCAGCCCAGTGGTGTATGGTGGTGGCTCTGTGGCAACGCACTTTGAAAAAATTACGCACTTTGAAAAATTTTTTCAAAGTGCGTTAATTTTTGGGACCATGTTAACGCACTTTGAAAAAAAAAATTTTTTTTCAAAGTGCGTTAATATCGACCATATTAACGCACTTTGAAAAAAAATTCTGCATGGCTTAGTCAATATTCCTACAAATCTCAGGTATGATAAATTATCATTTGAACCTGATTTGATACTTTTTGCCCCCCGCTTGAAAAGTGGGGGACATTAATTTGGGTCTATCTGTCCGTCCGTCCGTCTAGCTGTCCGTCCATCCGTCTTTCTGTAACGCTTTCGTTTCCACACGATATCTCTAAAACCCTTTGAGCTTTTGCAATGAAATTTAACATAACAGAATCTTTGTGGCCTAAGGAAGACCCCTTTTGAATTTGGGGTCAAAAGGTCAAGATTCAAGGGCGTAAAGAACTACGAAGGATAGTATTATTCTTCCGCCTATCTCTAAGTCAATTCTCAAAAGGTAACATATTGGAATGATTCTCAAAATTTTTATAGATATTCATACGAATTTTCATAAAACTTTACTTATTTGGGATACCAAAGAGAGATAACTCTATAATTTTGGCAAAACTTGTTTTTTTCAATATAGAAATCAACGGAAAACTGAAAATATTTTTAAAACATCTCCCCCCCCCCCCCCCCGTGAAACAAAAATTCCTTATTTACAGGTAATATGGACTGTCATTTTACAAATTTATGCCAAAGCTTTTTGTGTTTCAACGGGGGGGGGGGGGGGGGGGGCATATGTTTATAGACAAAACACGAAAAAAATTGCTTATTTTTCACCAATTTTAAAGCTATTTAAAACTAAATAATTGTATTTTATTAATTTATATATGCTTTATTAATTTGCGTAAGACATGAGAAAAGATATTAGATACATGTTATCATATTTATGATTATTTCAAAATATGGCGATTCTTGAAAGTTCATCACTATATCCCATCATACGTTGCGAGGGGATAATACTGTTGTCTATTTCTAAAATATATGTCCAATTCCTTTTGTTTCATGAAATTTTTTTCAAAGTGCGTTAAATGTTTACATGGTGTAAAATTATGATGTACAGTCTTAACGCACTTTGAAAAAATTTTTCAAAGTGCGTTGATTTGGTCCCAAATTCAACGCACTATGAAAAATTTTTTCAAAGTGCGTTAACCTGGTCCCAAAAATTAACGCACTTTGAAAAATTTTTTCAAAGTGCGTAATTTTTCAAAGTGCGTTGTAACATGGCTCCCACTCCTAGCTGCAGGCTAGCCATGCCTGTGCTTGCCGTAACTGCCGTGATCTTCCTCTGCCTGATCTCTTGAATAATTTTTCTGCAAGAAAAAATACAAGTATTAAAACTGATGAATAATTTCAGTACTTTTAAAAATAATTTACACTTCTCAGGTAGCCATTTTACCAAAATTATATATTAAGTTTGAATGTTGTTTAAAATGGTTTGATTTTTTTGGCATAACTAGTTTTAGATATTTAGGTACATGTATAATGTTATGGTGCATATAACTCTATAAAAATTAAATGCATAAAAATTATGCTTTACTGATATATCCTAAAATTATTATAAGAAATAAAAGTAAAATATGACTTCATTTTCATTGTGTCTAATCCCTTATGGGGAAAAAATTCATCTTTTTAGTATCTATATCTGAATATTCTGTCTTTAAATCTTACAGGTTATCACTTAATCTAGAATCGAAATCTGATGGGAAATTATTTGTTACATTGCACGATGTTTATAAAGCCTGCACCGAGTTTATGAGGAAAGCAAATGGCGTAAATCCTTTAAGTATGGATGTTCTCAGTAAAATGATAACTCGACTATTCGACATACAAGCAACCCTTATTAGCACTGGAGGAGAAAAGAAAATTCTATTCAAAAATCTTGGTCCTCGTGCACAATCAAAGATCTGTGACACTACAATCAATTTACCATCTGTGTGCCAGATTCAGTCTATAGAACCTCACCTCAAATTTAAGTGTCCCATACCTGTTATAATTGACAATGTTCAGCAGTATTGTTTGGTGGCATTTGAAAAGAATGATGTGACAATTGAAATTAATAGTGTGAAACTGTCATCAGGTTTTCCCATCCCCATAGTACAGTCCAATGTTGAAGGGATCCTATACCTTGTTTCCAATATCAAATTGTGTGGGGGGGTTCCTGCAGATGAACAATACTTCCCGAAGTCTTATCACCAGGAAAAAGTGTCCACTACATATGACAGAACCTATAAGGTAGTGATGAGGTCCAAGTCCTGCAAACAAATACTGGACTGGCTAGCAAGGAACGATGATTGTGCAACTTGTCATGATGTAATTCATACTAGGAAGAAGAGGCAAAAAAAGAGGAAACTTGAAGAGAGCGGTGAGGAAGACAATAAGGAGAATAAACAACCCTGTTTTAACACCGAGCCAGTGAGGGACACAGAGCAAAACTCAACCACAGTGGAAGTTGTGAAACAAGGTGAACAGGACACTGTTACAAGTACCAGTATTACCCTTGACGAAGAGGACCATGACGACATGGAGAAAATCTTACATTGTGTGTCCAAGTTTGACCTTCCTGAAGAATTTGTCGTCTTATTGAAGTCACAGCTACAAAACTGCAAGAAGGACTTAGATATTCATCAAAGGCGCTGGGACCCTAAAATCATCAGCCTGTGTCTAACCCTTTACGTACGCTCTCCTCAAGCATACGAAGATCTAAAAAAGTCAAACTTTCTTCAACTTCCCTCCAGAAGATTACTGCAATACTATAAAAACTCTGTGAGGCAGATTCCAGGATTCAATGAAGCTAACCTGACCTGGATGAAGAAAGAAATGGAGAAACAAAACATCCCAGAATTCGGTTGTCATGGGGGCATAGTGATTGATGAGATGACAATTCAAGACGACCTGATAATTACAAAGTCTGGCGATACATGGAAGTTGGTTGGATACGTTGATATGGACACCACCAACAATAATATCAGCATCATTTCGAATGGTCAGAAGAAAGTCGAACTTGCAACTCATGCTCTCCAGTTCATTTTTCATGGATTTACTGGATTCAGGTAAATGTACTTTGAAATTGAAAGATATTTTAAATTTGCCATTAATTAATTCACAAAAACCATTTATATGCCTTGAAAGAATAAGTTAACTGTTCTATTGATTATTTCAAATTAATCGTTTGTAGTTCTGAAATTAAACACTATACTGGTATCTGATTTAAATATAAATTTGGCAGAATTATAGAAATGAATTCATGAAGTATGAAAACTACCCGTAATGTAGAGAACTGATTAAAAGAGAAATTTCAATTTCTTTCACTTTCTGTAAGTCTTAATCCTTTATTTTAGATGAAAATGTGTTTAAATAAACAATATTTAAAATGTAAAATGTAAAATATTTATTCTTTATCATAGGTGGCCAGTTGTGTACTTTGGTGCAAATCCAGCCACAGCCCATCAACTCTACACAACATTTTGGAAATGCGTTGAGGTACTAGATGACATGAATATCACAGTTGACTATGTCATGACCGACGGCGCTTCCACAAATCGATCATTTGCTACCATGCTATTCCCACAGAATCCACAACAAACTAACTGGATATTCAGAGACATCTACTTTAGGGAACATGGGATATGCTTCATACAAGATATCATGCACGTCTTAAAGAAAATCCGCAACAATCTAGAATCCAGCAAGATCGAAAATAAGACTAGTACTGGACGATATTTGGTACACAGTGGAAAATGCATCACATGGGACCACTGGGAAGCTTGCTACCGCTTCAATTTCCAAAGCGGATTCTCCATTCATAGGAAACTGACGGAGGAGCATATTAACCTAACTCCAGCGACAAAAATGAGGAACAATCTAGCAATTGAGGTTCTGAATAAGGACATGCTTTATTTGATGAGGTCGTATCAAGCTACCCTTGAAAACCCTGAGAACCTTGCTAGTAGTATTGAGATTTTGGAACAGACCTCAGAGCTGGTGGACATTTTCTGTTGCAGAAACAGACCTATTTCATCACAGGAAGATACAAGATTCGAAATGCTGCGAAAAGTTGTGACTTATTTCAGTTCCTGGGAGGATGCTGTGGAGAAGTCTGTTATGCTTGTTCCATCCAAAAACCTAATGACTTTGGAGACTCGAACAGACCTCAACTCCTCACTCATGGGATTTATATCCCTCTGCAAGAATGTGCTCAATGGAAAAAACAGCATAAACCCTGGGTATCTAAATTCGGACATAGTGGAAAATTTATTTGGACAGCAGCGTGGTGTAAGGAATGGATTGAATAATAATCCTACTTTGGCACAGTATGGACCATCTAATACTGCCATTATTTTGGGACAGTGTACTGTGTCAAATAAATCAAATTCCACCAACAAAGCATCCTTTTTTACTGCTACTACACCCTGTCCACTGAATACAACTAGAAATAAATCCCAGCGGGCACTGAGGAGGGGGATTCGATTGTGAGCAGCCATGTATCTATTCAGTATGTGTTGATTAAATATATTTTTTCAGACCTGACTCCATGACCATTAACTGATTTCTACATTACATAAAAATTTAACATCTAAGCCATTCATTCTATTATTCTAGATCAAGCTTTAAAAAAAATACACTTTTGACAAAATCTTTTAATGGACTCATAAGTTTATTATCAAAGCATATTTTCTTTAAAGTCATGGAGCATGGGTTCTGATCCATTTTTTTGGTAGTTATATGTTTATATTTAGCCCTTAATTTATCTTCTTTATATTGATTTTCCAACCTAAATATTCAATTCATTAGAATGATTTCAGTGAATTTAATTTAATAGGGTACCGTCCATAGAATTCAAATTACTGAAGGTGTCATCTGAAAAACACAGTTTTGTCTTTTTTTTCCCGATATTTATTTATCTGTCTGTATGAATTTTTCATTATCTATT